CCCCCCCAGGCAGTGCCCCGGAGGCGGGGCAGGAGCCCGCCCAGGGGGAGCGCGTGGCCGCCTCCGGAGGCGGTGGGAGCCCCAGCGGAAGGCCAAGGCAGGCCCCGGCCCTCGGCAGGCCGGATGCCGAGACAGCGCTGCCCAGGCGCCCTGGCCGAGGACAGGCGGGGGACCGCCCCTGGCCCATGACCTCCAGGCGTGCGGGTGTGCCCCCCCTCCCGGGGCACTGGGGCCCACCGCCTCTCAGCCTGAGAGCTGCCTGCGGGTCTGCCGGGCTCCAGCAGCCTGTCCGGCCACCACGATTGTCACCTGCGGGCCTGCACTCCTGCACAGGGACGACTGCCTTTCGGAAACCGGCCACTCAGTCGCAGGAGCCAGGCCTCCAGGGTGCCTCACGTCAGTCAGAGCAGGAGGCTGGGAAGGCGGCAGGGGGGTGCGGGGGCTCCATGCGCCAGCCTGCTGCAGAGGTCCACGTCAGGAGTGACCCGGCACGTGAGCACTGCTGTCTGACCAGGCACCCAGAAGCTGACCAGGACACGCCTTGTTGATAAGATAAGCGTGGCCCAGGGTCCGCAGGTTGGTTTCGACGATGACACAGGTGGTCAGCCGGTGAGAACTGCCTGGTCAGCAGAGTCCTGGCCCCCGGAAGCCCCAGAGGACAAGACGCGTTCCTCAGCCTCCCCTTCCTTTTCTCCCTGTCCTCCTGCCCACATAACCGCCACTGCGAGCTGACCTCGTGCGCACAAAGGCTGGGCTCTTGCTTGCTGGCGGCATCCCGCGTGGGCAGCGCCCGGCTCCCGCTGGCAGTGGTGCACGGTGCCGGGTGCACGGTGTGGCGCCGCCCAGCTCGCACGGCGGCTCAGAAGGCGCCTGCCGGCCCCTGTCAGGCCTGCGCACCCCGCGGGCCTCGGCGCCTGCAGGCCCCTCCCCAGTGCCTCTCGCAAGAGGGCTCAGCCACTTCTGAGCGCGCGTCGGGTCCTTCCACCTCCTGCCTGTCTCGGGCATCCCAGGGCCCGTTACGTCCTGTGGCAAGGGCAGACAGGCAGCGGCCCTGCAAGAGTTCGGGGCCGCAGCGCCCACTCAGGGCTGGCCCGCCCTGCAGGGCTGCGGGCAGCACCGGGCTGCGAGAGGCAGATGAGTGGAGTATGACCGGTCATCACTGGGCCCACCAGGGGGGCCAGGGGGTCGGGGCGAGCTGGGCGCCGGACAGTCTGTGTAACCTCAGGGCCGGGCAGCGGCTGCTGCCCGGGCTGCTTGGGGGGGGCGGGTCAGTTGCAGCCTGGCTGTCAAGGGGAGCTGGCCACCTCCGGGCCGGGCTGCCCAGCAGGGCCAGCGGTGTGGCTTTCGCCTAAGGCGAGCTGTACTATGTACACAGAAACCCACAGAACCTGCTCCAACTCGGGTGGGGGGAGGGGATAAGGCGGGCAGACTGGCCATTGCCCTGCAGGCAGGAAGAGGCTCAGAACAGCACGGGCTGGGGGCCAGGCCAGGCAGCCGAGATCACCCCAAAGTGGGTGGGAAGCCCTGCAGGGCACAGACAGCGCCACCCAGACCGGGGCAGGCCCGGCGGTCGCAGGCCGAGCCTGGTGAGTGCCACTGCCCAGCGGGTGCTTCGGTACATGTCAGGAGAAACCCAGGCAGTGCCACCGCCGCGCTCGCCCACCTGCACCCACACGCCTGTGCCCCAGCTCGCCTCCTTCGGCACCCCAACACCAGCCTTCCTCTGGAAAGACCCTGCTGGCACCTGCCGCCCCATCCTGCTCCTCCGGCCTCCTCTCCTGCCTCAGCTCCAGTGCCACAGAGCTCCTGGCCCCCAGCGGCCAGCGTGCAGGGGACCCCGCCTGCGCCCTCCTGCCACTGGGGCTGGGGGTTGGCACAGCCCGTGCCTGCCACCGGTCACTCTCTGTCCTGTCACCGAAGACCAGCCTTTGCGCTTCCCGGGGAACGCAGAGCGCGCTCCCCAGAGAACCCCGTGCCCACACCCAAGTGGCCTCTCAGGGCCGCTGCCCACCTGCCCCCCAGCCAGAAGCCCCCTCCCCTCCCACTCTGAAGCCAAGCAGCTCAGGCCGTCCCTGTCCTTTTTAGTTTAATCTCCGGTGCGGCTCGACTGCGGCCAAAGAAACTTCACGGGCATCAACCCAGTGCCCGCCCCAAGGGAAAACGCGGCGGAAACCAAGCACAGCGTTCAGGCTGCGCGAAAGCGGGCGAGGGCCGGCGGGCGAGGGCCGGCGGGCGAGGGCCGGCGGGCGAGGGCCGGCG